TTCATTGATGTTTGACTAAACAATTTTGTTGGATGTTTAAATTCAGTTTTAATATTTTGCATATTTAATAATGACTCGATAAGGCTTCGAACATTTTGCAAATTTAATTTATTGTCTTTCAATCCAGCTATTCCATTTATTTCAAACTCCAGTAATGTCCCAGCACACTCCTTGTTCCAGATATCGTCTAAAATTTTATGTTTATCGACAATAATATCAGTTCGACAATTTCCTTGCAAAGTAACTTGTCCAGATCCCCGTGAAGTGGATGGAATATTATCACTCGGTAAACCCCTTTTAACAATAGGTTGTTTATTTTTCATCACAATTTTAAAATTAACAACTGACATACTTTCTGGTGAATTTAGATTAATGTAAAATTTATCATTTGAAAATAATTCATTTAACTTATTTACCAATTTAACCATTCGTGTTTCTTTTTTAATGTCAAGATCGTGCATTACCATTGTAACAAAATCAGATCCTTTAACTGGTGTTTTTACTTCCCCGAAATGTCTTAAGTTATTATATCAGGAACATAATACATTTCCATTGGAACATGGAAATAATTAGGATCAATGTGCACTATTCCAGATGGATTGTCAATTCCCAATTTAATCATTAGTAATGACGTTGAATCACTAGTTCTGAGAGTATTTTTTACAGCATCTTCTGCATTAGAATAAAATACCCTACCATTCATTTTAAAACGACGAAGATAATGTTCAGTAGATAGTAGGTCTTTCCAGTCTTTAGCACTTATTTCTATAGCATGATAAAGTGTGTTTGGCATTTTAATAAATTTATCATCACACTGTGTAAGGGCTAATCTGTATACTGAAGCCAAAAAACTTCTCTGTGCATGTAAAGTTGGTGGTAAAGTTTTTGCAAAATGTGAATACAATACATAATAATCCTCAAATCGCATACTTTGGCGAATTGGAAGTAACTTATAACTTTCATACACAGTTTCAGTATTTTGTAAATGAGTCCCATCAAAAATATAATTTATTGTTTTTTTCGCATCTTCCAAATTTTTAACCTGATGTACAGATTCTTTAAATAGCACATCATCAATAAAAATGTGATTCTTTATTTTATAATTTTTAAATATTTCAGAAGGATTATTACCATTAATTATTTCCTTCGCCAACATTTCATAAGTAGGAACACGAGTTTCAATTGGATCGGTTCTTAAAATGTAACCTTTTAACATTTCTTCCATTTCAGTTAATCTATGTCGAGGAATATTTAACGAGATAATACTGGCAGCATTCTCGATATCTACACTTCTTGTAAATGTAGATATTTCTTTAGTGTTAAGTAAATAATTACTTTTTATTTTATATATCTGCCAATCGAATTCCAATATTGTTTTAGTTCTAAGAGTAAGAAATCCCTTCCATTTTGGAATTCAGCATTTACTACCGAAAATGTGAGTCCTGGATAAACAACAAATTGGTTTTTCCAACTCTTATCAAATGCTGCCAAATCAACAATTCCATTTTGAGAATCACTTGTCATGTGATAACGAATTTCTGTTATGAAATGTAAATTTTTATTAACAAGATTAATTTCACTTAGACGAATATCTGTTAATAGGGTAATATCATTGAAATAAAAGTCCTCTCCTTTCATTCCCTTCACATTATCAAAAATTTGTGGTTTGTCTAATGTTTGTTTTTGTATAAATTAGCCCAATTTTCAGGTTTTAAATTGTCTAAAGAAAATAACATTTCACGATAATTTTTTTCACCATACCTAAGTTTAGATTGGTGGTTACTTAAAACTAATTCTTCAAATTGCCTTGAAGTATCAAGAATATTACCACTTGTCACAATTTCTCGTGATGTACCTGGTTTCATTGGTGTCTTATTCCATTCAATCGTATTATGATAAACTTGATAATCTTTTATTATTTTCGTATCTTCATGTAGATTAAAATAAGGCAAAAGTCTTTGAATAATTTCCTTTTTTCCCATTTTAGAAATATCAACATTTGGCAAACTTTCTGTTGAATACAATTCTTTTTTAACAACATGTTGTTCAGTTGCCCTCGAATTTCCCAAATTTAATCCATTTGATGTTGAAGGAATATTATCAGTTGACAAACTTCCTTTTATAGCAGGTTGTTCAGATCTCGGTAGTGTGGGTATTATGTTCCTATCTGCATTTGAATTAAGATAAGGCATGTTACTTTGGAGTAGATCATTTTCTCCCATTTCAAATTTCAAATTAGAAATTTCATTAGTTTCTGGATTATATACACGATAGGAAATTTTGTTCATGTTATCTTTTATTGGCAACACGGGAACTGGTAATAGATTGCCTTCAATGGTTCTTAGTTCTGCACTATTTTCAAATGATGATATGAATTTTGGTCCAAAAAAGTGTTCACCGCCGGGATAATAATGTAAAAAGAGTTTATAATTCTTCTCTTCATGCAGAACCTTTGGCATCAGACCATTAGTTGTGATTGGTAGTTCTATATTAGTATTCAGCTTTTTTAACATAGTTGTTAATAACAATTTTAGATTTTTATTCATTGAAATCTTTGGAATCAGACAGTTTACTCAAATATGACATCCATTTTTCTAGTAATATTTTAGTAACATTTTTATCCATCACAAATTTATCCTTTACCTTGTATCCTAATGACTTTTATCCTCTATCTTTACAACTTTTTACCCACCTTTTTTTCTGTGGCTAATCTTTATAAAACATAATTCTCATTTGGCCTAATTTTACATTATCCTAATTGTTACTTGTTCTAATATTATAATCTAACATAATTCTAAAATGGCTTACTCTTAATGTAACCTTATTCTCTTTTGGCCTAATCCTCATTTTGATCTATTTCTCACTTGGTCTAAACTTCATTTGTCACCCGCTTATTCATTCGTTTACTCTATCTTATCTACTATTAAAATAAAATTCAACAGTTAAATTAAAAATGAAGGTAACTTTTATTATAGTTATCATATTAAGTTATTTTTACACTCTAATAAATTAATATCAAGGGAAAAAATTATCATTTCAACAAATATTGAAAAGAAAAATTTCAATATTAGCGCAGGACTTAAGTTTAGGAATTTACAATAAAATGAGATACATAATTTCAGCTCAAAAAAAAACAATTATTAAATTTATTTAGATATTATTTAAGTAGAACTTAACATTTGATGATAGTAAAGTATTTAACTTAACTGCTAATTTAGCAATAAGTTTCTCTTTGAAAAAATTCATGTTACTAAACTTATAAATAGTAATTAACATTCCGTTAATGGTTTTAGTATGCTTGCGAATTTTCATAAATTCTACTTCATGAGGAATAACATAAAATCCTTTTTCAAATGGAAAAACACGACCAATATTTGCTATTCCAGCCTCGTTAATCAATTCAAATTCACACAATATTATTTTCTCCGATGATTTAACGAGTGGAAAATCTTTAATTACTTTTTCCCGATTTGAATAACAGGCAATCATTGCATTAAAAATTGGCACATCACCATTTAATTTATGTACAACAAAAACAGCATAAAGAGTAATTGGTTTATTTATTAGCATTTCATTCATAGACTGTCTTAAAGCAAGTCGATATAATGAAATTGCTAATCGTTTTTGTTCATTTACATCTATTGATAAAGTTTTAGAAACATATGAATATATAACATAGTAATCTTCAAATCGAATTTGTTTTTCAATTAATGTTACACTCTGATACATTTTAAATACAGATTCAACATTCTGTGGATAAACTCCACTAAATAATTGATTAATTATTTGTTTTGCCGATTCCAATGAATTAATTTTATGTAATTTATCATAAAACAATACATCATCAATAAAAGGACCATTAAATATTTCAAACTGTTTATAGTTCTCCGGAATTTTAAAATTTACATAATAATCTTTTGCCAATTTATCATAAGTAGGAACATTACATGTATACTGATTAATATTTAAAATATATTTTTTTTAAATTATTTTCATATCTCTAAATCTTTGTAGAGGAAAATTAGATGATATTGATAAAGCAGCATTCTCAATACATTTCATTATTTTAGTTGATTCTATTTCTTCAATATCAATTAAAATTAAATCTCTTTTTCTAATTTCCATCCAATCAAAAATTGGCATTGATTTTTGATTTAAATCTAATACTAAAAGACGATTTTCATTTAAAAATTTTACACTATGTACATTGAATGAAATTTCTGGAAATACAATGTAATCGTTTTTAAAACTATCATGAAATTCAGCAAGATTGATAAATCCATTTTTAGAATGAAAATTTACACGATAGAGAACTTCTGTTTCGGTATTAGTTAATGATAATTTTTTATTGATAATATTATTTGGTTCAATATCGTTTAATAGTGTAATGTCATTAAAATAAAAATTGGATCCTTCTAATTTACTTAAATAATTATCAATAATTATAGAATTAGTTACTGTTTGATGAAAATAAAGTTTTTTCACTTCATTTAAAGTTGTATCAATATTTTGAAATTGAGATAAATAATTGAGAAGTAATCGAACTGATTGCATGGTAAATTTATCTTCCTTTATAAGTTGTAATCCTTGCTTTTTAAATTTCTTTAATGATTCAACGTATAAATTGTAGCTTTCTTCACCTAATTCGTCAATGTAATGATTCAAGGGAATTTGAGGCAAAATTTCTTTTGTAAAAGGTTGTACTGAATTCATTAAAATTCCAGTACGATGTGCAGGAAAATTTTCTTTTAAATTAATTTCTTCAAATGGAGGATTTTTCATTGTTTCAAGTGAACTATCAGAATTAATATTTTTAACTAAAGACAAATCTGGATTTAAATGTTCATCTGCATTAGGCTTTTTCTTCTTTATTGGCGTCTTATTAACTGATTGTTCATTTTTTATCGTATTTCCTCCTCTAACAATTGGTTGTCCATTTTTCATCGAATTTTCAAAATTTAATCCCTTCGAAGTTGACGGAATATCATCAGTTGGTAAACCTCCTCTAACAATTGGTTGTCCATTTTTTATCGAATTTTCAAAATTTAATCCCTTTGAAGTTGACGGAATATCATCAGTTGGTAAACCTCCTCTAACAATTGGTTGTCCATTTTTCATCGAATTTTCAAAATTTAATCCCTTTGAAGTTGACGGAATTCTATAAGTTGGCAATTTTCCTTCAACAATTGGTTTTAGATTAGCGTAAAATTTAGTATCACTTGAAAATAATGTATTTAAATTATTTACTAATTTAATCATTCTTTTTTCTTTTGGAATTTCAAAATCGTTATATATTACTCTCAAAATATTTTCTTTTTCATACTCCACTTTTCCAAGAATATTAAAATTTATTGTATCAGTAAGATAATACAGTTTCTTGGGAACATTGAAATAATAAGGATCAATGTACGCTATTCCAAATGAATTTTTAAAATTTAATTCCAACAATAGTATTTTATCAACATAGTTAGTTCTGTGAGTATTTTTTAAAGCATCTTTTACATTAGAATAAAATGGAATATTTTCAAGACTTTGACTAATATCACCATCATATTTCTTAGCAAAATAAAGGGTACTTGGAAATTGAATAAATTTATCATCACACTGTCTAAGAGCCAATCTGTTTAATGCAGCATTAAGTCTTGTATTTGCATGTAGACTTGTTGGTAAAGTTCCCTTTAAATGTGAATACCATACATAATAATCCTCAAAAAGCATACTATGCTCATTTGAATGTGAATTAAAAATTTCAAACACAGATTCAACATTCTGTTCATATGTCTTATCAAAAATATTGGCTATTGTTTTTTTCGCATCTTCCAAATTTTTTACCTGATATAAAGACTTTTCAAATAGTACATCGTCAATAAAAATATGATTTGTTATTTTCCATTCGTTAAATATTTCACAAGGTGTAATACGTGTATTTATTTCCTTTGCCAACATTTCATAAGTAGGAACACGAGTTTCAATTGGATCGATTCTTAAAATGTAACCTTTTAACATTTCTTCCATTTCAGTTAATCTATGCAGAGGAGTATTTAATGAGATAAGATTAGCTGCATTTTCAATATTTACACTTCTTTCATATGTAGTTATTTCTTTATTTTGAAGTAAAATATCATAGTTCTTTTTATTTTGCAACCAATCGGATTCCAATATTGGCTTTTGTTTTAGTTCTACAAGTAAAAAATCTTTTCCATTTACGAATTCAGTATTTTCTACTGTAAATTCCAGTTCTGGAAAAACAACAAATTGGTTTCTAAAACCCGTTTCAAATTCCGCCAAATCAACAAGTCCATATTGAGAATTAATTTTTATTTGATACTGAACTTCTGTTTTTAACGGATTCGCCGATACCTTATTAAGAAGTTTAATTTCACCATGTGGAATATCTGTCAAAAGGGTAATATCATTAAAATAAAAGTCCTTTCCTTTCAGTTGCTCCAAATATTTGACAATATTTTGTTCTTTTAATGTTTGACTAAAATACAAGTGTCTTGGCATTTTATGCTTCACTATGTCTTGAATGCTTCGTATCTTCTCTAAATTCTTTTTTATTATTAAAACTTTTACTTTATTTTTGTATAAATTAGCAAATTTTTCATATTTTAAATCATTTATAGATAATAAAATTTCCCCATACTCAATATCACCAAATATAATTCTAGCCCAAAATTCACCACCCAATTCACCACTATAAAAATGATCAAAATCTGACAATCTTTCTTCTGAAGTTCCTGAGTTAGCAGAATTCATTAGTTTATTATCCCCATTATTCGTATTATAATGAACCAATTCTTCAGATCCCTTTGAATTATCAAAATTATTATTACTTGGCACTCTTTCTTGTAACGTACCTGATGTCTTCATTGGTATCTTATTCAATTCAATTGTATTATGATAAACTTGATAATCTTTTATTATTTTCGTATCTTCATGTAGATTAAAATAAGGCAAAAGTCTTTGAATAATTTCCTTTTTTCCCATTTTAGAAATATCAACATTTGGCAAACTTTCTGTTGAATACAATTCTTTTTTAACAATATGTTGTTTAGTTGCCCTCGAATTTCCCAAATTTAATCCATTTGAAGTAGACGGAATATTATCAGTTGGCAATTCTCCTTTAGCAATATGTTGTCCAGTTGCCCTCGAAATTTCCAAATTTAATCCATTTGATGTTGAAGGAATATTATCAGTTGGCAAACTTCCTTTTATAGCAGGTTGTTCGGATTCCGGTAGTGTGGGTATTATTTTCCTATCTGCATTTGAATTAAGATAAGGCATGTTACTTCGGAGTAGATCATTTTCTCCCATTTCAAATTTCAAATTAGAAATTTCATTAGTTTCTGGATTATATACACGATAGGAAATTTTATTCATGTTATCTTTTATTGGCAACACGGGAACTGGTAATAGATTGCCTTCAATGGTTCTTAGTTCTGCAGTATTTTCAAATGATGATATGAATTTTGGTCCAAAAAAGTGTTCACCGCCGGGATAATAATGTAAAAAGAGTTTATAATTCTTCTCTTCATGCAGAACATTTGGCATGAGACCATTAGTTGTGATTGGTAGTTCTATATTAGTATTCAGCTTTTTTAACATAGTTGTTAACAACAATTTTAGATTTTTATTCATTGAAATCTTTGGAATTTTTTGAATCATAGTGTTATACATCTTGTGGAATAGTTTGGAGCCCAATTTGCTTAACTTGAAAACTAATTCAAACCTAGGATCTATCAATTGTATTAAGGCAATAGATACATCTTTTAACAGTTGCTTGGTAAGAATTTCCTGCAAAACGGTTCTAGCCAGCGCTTTTGAAATTTGATAGAATGTAGTTAATTTAGTGGCACTTGCTATTCTTGATAAACTACTTTTAATTACATATTTTTCGCTTAATCCAATTACTAAGTTGTTGGTTATTTTAGTTGCGTATTTTCCAAAAAAACTTTGTAAAGAAATCAATGAAACAATATCTGAAGTACAGCCTAATGCGGCTCCAACTTTGTCATTCTCTTGTATGCTTTCAATACAACTATAAAAAGGTATAAATGCTTTTAAAAAATTAAAAACCTTCTCTTTTGTAGTTTCATTTCTATATTGATGCATTAGGTTTTTTAAAAAGTTTGCTTTTCTTACGTTGGCAAACCTTTCAATAAATACTTCGCTGTCTTCATGAGCGGATTTAAGATCATTTTGAACTATATTTATTTCCATTTGTGCATTTGGATCATTTGCAACTAATTTACCAAATTCTTGTTCGTTATTACTTTTTACGAGTAATGTCGGTAATGTATCGTTATGTATAAATGCGTAAAAATTTGTTTTTCCTCTTTCTTTAATTGCAAACATTAGGGTTACATTGGGGTTTATCTTTACTGCCATAGGTGGTATGTTCGTCATGTACATTGGATAATCTGGAACTCGTGCAAGACTAACAGTACTTCTTCTGTTTAATATTTCTATCAAATGATTATCGTCTAAAACTTTTCTTATCAAAATCTTTTCAATTTCAAAATATGTGTTTCCTACATTTTCAAACTGTGTCCTATAGACATCTTCCAAATTGGGAAGATTGTCTAGAAAACAACCAGTGGGAAGAGCCAATCCTACAATGTAATGATTGTATGACATATAATTATTCACAAATTGAGGTAAATTATTTTTATAATGAGAATAGTTACAATGTTTTTCAAGTATAGTTGTGGCAATAAATGGACGATATTTTAAATCTTTCAATTCCTTCCGAAATCTGTAAAAAAGATTGTTATTTAAGGTTCGATTTATACTTTCATTTATTGTTATATTAATATGTGAAAACAAAATATCATAAGCTTCATTTCGAACTTCTGCATTTAATAAAGTTTGATTTTTTTTTCTGAATGCTTCTTTTTCCTTAGTGGCGTAAAAAAATAATGCCGGTGTTGAAAAAAGATTAAACACCATTTCATAAGATTCGTTACCATAAGACGCCTGAAAATCAATCTCTCGTGATATTGAAATATAATTATCAAACGAAACGTTTATTTTTTCTCCAAGTATAGATCTGACAATTTTTAAACCAGCCATTGCGTATAGATAATCCACACTCATTATGTTCATATCTTGATTTTCTGGCTCGGGAAATATTGGCAGAATATATTCAGAAAAAATTGTTTTAGCTGACAAAAAATTAAGTTTCGGGCTTTTGTTTGTTTTTGAACAGTAATCTATACTTGTGTAATTGTTAAAAAGCTCCTGCTTTATAGTTTTCATCAACGTGGAATAAGATGTATTATCTGCCTTATTGATTATTTTTGCTAAATATCCGTTAATGTTACCATAGTGTGAAAATAGAGCATTGTTGATGATGTACTGATATGTTTCATCTACGTATTTTGTATCGAGTGTTTCATTTTCGCCACCACCGTAGAGATCGGTTCCTTTTAATATTGTTTGTAGAAGCTGGAGTTTTGTTTCGGTTTCAGTGTTGGAATTATTGAGGTATTTAAAATAAGTATTTAGTACAGGAACAGACTGATTTCTCTGATTTAATGTAATGAGGCTTTCGTTGTAAAAGATAATTCCGAGAGTTGTAATATAGTGACAAACAGATAGATATTGTATGTTTGGTGGAAGTTGTACGAAAACTGATGTGTCGTTCATCATGAGTTGATTCGCTTTTTGCTGTGTTGATTTTTTAATGTTTTTACTGTTGTAAATTTTTAATATATTTTTTGCTGTTGTATCTCTTCACTTTTGTAAAGTTTTAATTTTTCCTGAGGAAACCTGAAATAATTTGACATGTTAAATTAAGCGTTTTATTGCAACGATCGGTTGAGCGCTCCGTAGGAAATTTTATTTTTCAAAACAGACCCATTTGTAAGATGATATAAAAAATTATCAACACAGAAATCTACATTACCGACCATCGGTAAAACAGGAAACTGAATTTAAAAAATTACCGACCCAGAAATCTACATCACCGACTGTCGGTAAAACATGGAAATGACGATACAAAAATTTACCGACACAGAAATCTACATTAGCGACTAATGTTAAAACAGGTTTAGCAATGGGCTAAAGACTGAAATATTTAAAAAAAATTCCCATGATTCGTACGATTTTAGCAATGGTTTATAAGTACGAGTAATAAAAATGGAAGATGCAATTGCAAATGGGTGTCTAATTTGGCATGGAATTCATTAAAAATTATTGTTAAATAAAATCAATTAATTGAACTATTAGATTAAGTTAAATATACTTTTTCTCTCATTATAACGAATAAGATTGTAAAAAGAGCCTCGGCAAAAAGTGACCCTTTTTCGTACCTCGAATTTTGAAACTTTTTTTATGCCAAATGGTTACATATGATGACCCAATAATCCCTGCAAAATTTCAAGATGAGCATGTGCCCCCTTTCCGAAATACAGGGGGTCAAAGGGGGCCATGTCCAAAATTAGAATATGCAATATAATCGAATAATAATGTTAAAAAAATCAGACCAAATGGTTCCCTTAAGATATTCGTCTGCTGATTACGAATCTAAAGTCCGTTTTTAAAAATTCAAAATGGCGGATCCAATATGGCGGACAACATTTTTTAAAAATCGATCCAATTGACGTGAAAATCGTTACTCGGGGGTTTTTGGGGTCTCTGATTACGAATGTGATGTCCGTTTTTAAAAAAAATCCTTCGATCACGAACTAGACTTATATGTGTAAATGAAGCACACTAAATTTTAAATAAATCGGTTTAATGGTATTTGAGTAATCGTGGTCACCGACTTGGAAAATGTCATTTTGAGAAAAACGCATTCAAAGTTTCAACTTACTTTTTTTTGTTCAGAAGAAATTTTGTTTCTAAGTTACAAAGAGTCATCGATTCCTGGACCATATAATAACTCTTCCACAGTGGTTGCCGTTTCTAAATCATAGGAAAAGGCCATCTGTCGTTAGGGTCAGGTATGGCTGGCCACCTTGTATGAAGCCACGGGACGCGCCGCTGCAGTGTTCTCAATATCTCATTTATTTTTCACCGGATCAACTTTGAAATTTACAGACACAATTCTAAATATGTATACTTTAAGAAAATGCACAAAAAAAATCGATTTTTCGAAAGTTACAACTGGTGTTCCCCCCTTAAAAACATCTTTTTTTTAATGTGAGCTTGAGAATGTGATAATAGAGTTCTAATTTTAATTTAAAAGTATCAAATTATTGAAAGATTTTATCTTACATTCGAACACTCCGGAAACAAAAGACGATCTGAAAATTATAATGTTCTATACTTCTATTCTAATCTACATTTAATGTGTGTTGCGTTTTGCGAATGTGATTTAGTAAAATTAATTGTATAGTTTTAAAAATCTGAATTTATTAAAAGATTTCAGCCTTCATTCAAAAACCCTAAAAAACAAAAGACGATCAATAGATCATCATTTCATTTATTTCCATTGCATTCTACATCTCATGTGACTTTTGTCTTTGCGAATGTAATTAAAGAAAACTAATTTTAATCTCAAAAGTTTGAAATAAATGAAAGATTTCAGCCTTCATTCAAAAACCGATTACATCTTGCCTTCATTGGTTGGGATACTACTTCTTATCTTTGTTGATTGGAATATTACATCTTACTTTAGATGGTTTTGTAATTATTACATCTGGCCTTTGCAAGCTGAATTTAGCTTTAAATCTTGCCTTTATTCGTTATATTAGATCCGACATTTTGAATTTTTAAAAACGGACATCATATTCGTAATCAGCGACCCCAAAAACCCCCGAGTAACAAGTTTCCAGTCAATTGGATCGATTTTCAAAAATGTCGTCCGCCATATTGGATCCGCCATTTTGAATTTTTAAAAACGGACATCACATTCGTAATCAGAGACCCCAAAAACCCCCGAGTAACGATTTTCACGTCAATTGGATCGATTTTTAAAAATGTCGTCCGCTATATTGGATCCGCCATTTTGAATTTTTAAAAACGGACTTTAGATTCGTAATCAGCAGACGAAAATCTTAAGGGAATCATTTGGTCTGATTTTTTTTAACATTATTATTCGATTATATTGCATATTCTAATTTTGGACATGGCCCCCTTTGACCCCCTGTATTTCGGAAAGGGGGCACATGCTCATCTTGAAATTTTGCAGGGATTATTGGGTCATCATATGTAACTATTTGGCATAAAAAAAGTTTCAAAATTCGAGGTACGAAAAAGGGGCATTTTTTGCATGGGGCTTGCCGAGGCTCTTTCCTTCAGATGACATTTCAATTTTTCCAAATAGATCCATTAATTTTTTTTTAATATTGTACTTCGTTAAATATTTATTTTTATTGTTGTTGACATATCAATATATATTTAGTTTTAAAAATTTAATTTTTGAAACGTGTCTTATTTTTTACTGCTTTAAAATTGTTCACATTTATTAAATGTATTTCCATATGTAAAAGAAAATATTGAAGAAATTTGCAAACATAACATTTTTTGTAGATACAGAAATGAAGCAATAAAAGTTAGAAGGATATTATAAAACATTTTAACGTTTTACTTTATCAAGCAAAATTTTATTAATTTTTTTAATATTGTACCTATGTCGTTAAATATTTATTTATACTGTTGTCGACATTTATCGATATATTTTGTTTTAAGGATTTAATTTTTCAAACGTGTCTTATTTTTACTGCTTTAAAATTCTTTTGTTAAGTTAATGATTTATTTTGAATTAACTTTAAACTTTTTAATTTTGTCAATTTAAAATAATAAAATAGATTAATTAAACTATTTTGTTAAGTCAAAAAAATATTTTCTCTGATTATAACGGATTTTAAAAATTTCCTTTAGATGAATAATAAGAAAAATAAGATTAAAAAATCTTGTTTTTTTTGACAAAATAACAGTTAAATAAATTGTAGGTAGGGTCAGTTGGGGTAAATGGGGACAAGAGGTTTTAGAGCTTAATTTACAGTCTTAAAATTAAGTTCAAGGTCAATATTTTAACCTCAGATCACCTGCAAGAGGTTTTGACTATTGCCAAGCTTTTCTCTTGACAATTGTCAGCAAGATAAAAAAAGTTATCGCTCAATGCATAAAATCTTGAAAATCAAAGTTAAACTGTTTCAGTATTTTGTCGAGCATTTCAAAGAAAACAGACTTCAAAATCATACCAAATTTTTTTCTTATTCCTTATGAATCCTATAACAGAGATTCACTTGAATTTTTGATTTTTGTCAATTTTGTTAATAATAACAAGCTGTCCCCATTAACGCTGAGTTTTCAAATTTTTGGGGTAAATGGGGACAGCTCGTGATTATTAACCAAATTGATAAAAATCAAAATTTCAAGTGAATTTCTGTTATAGGAGTCATATGGAATAAGAAAAAAATTTGGTATGATTTTTAAGTCTGTTTTTTTTCAAATGCGAGACAAAATACTAAAATAAAAAAAAATAAAAAAATTTCAATTGGTTCAACTATTATATATCTACTACAAATTTTTTTCAAGTTTTTTCATCCCTTAATACAGTAATATACTTAAGGAAACTATTTTCTTAAAACTTTCTTAGAAACTATACTGACCCTATTTACCCCAAATTTTATGAAATTTTCAAAATTTTGGGGTAAATGGGGACAGTCAGTTTCATGCGTTCAAAGCTTATCTACATTTTTTTCTGCTGCATAAAATTAATCCTGGGAATGTAAATAACAACTTAAAAAAATAAATTAGAAAATATTATCTTTTAATGGAAGAAATTTACGTAATTTGTGAAAAATAGCGATTATGTCCCCATTTACCCCAACTGACCCTACATTTTAAGAAGATTAATAAAAATAAAATTATTATATAGAATTATTTTACTTACCCTGAATGGCCACTTATAAAGCAAAACAACTATGTCGAATTGTCTCTGATAGAGGAATAATGCTACGAAAACTAGAAGGATAGTTAAATAGTTTAATATTTGACTTTATCAAGCAAAATTTTATTAATTTTTTTTAATATTGTACGTCGTTAAATATTTATTTTTATTGTTGTCGACATATCGATATATGGGCATATCTCTAAAACTTTTAAACTTTGCGATAGTAGAAAAATTAATTTTTTTTTCAGGGCACATTCGTGAAACAATTTTATTGTCTTTAGTATTGATCAAATACTATAAAAAAATTTGCGTAACTCATTTTTACACATTGTTACGCAGCACAGTGGGCCTTAATGCAAAAAACCTGCCCAAAATCTCTAGATGTGTTTAAAACTGACTGAAATTTGTAACTCGCGGATTTTTTTGGTCGCTGATTACAAATCCGACGTTAGTTTTTCAAAATTCAAAATGGCGGACGACTTTTAAAAAAATTGATCGAATTTGTCTGAAATTTGTTACTCAGGGGTTTTTTGGGTCGCTGATTACGAATCTGAACTTAGTTTTTCAAAATTCAAAATGGCGGATCCAATATGGCGGACAACTTTTAAAAAAATTGATCCAATTGGCTTAAAATTTGTTACTTGGGGGTTTTCGTAGCTTAGGTTTTGTAACCATGTACATAAAATTTAAAGTTTCATTACTAATATTTAAAATGGTGTATCAAATATGTCAGAAAGATATTTTTCAATTATTCAATTTTTATAAAAATTTATGCCTAAGGTTTTCTGAGGTCACTGATTACGAAACTGAACTTATTTTAAAAACCAAATATATTATTATAATATAAACTAACACTTTATGTTACCTTTAAAATGATTTATTGCTACAGTTTCGAAAATTTTATGTCCTATGGCTTATTAAGTCATAAGTAAATGTAGTTTATAACAATTTTTGAATTTTTTAAAAAAATTTTAAAAAATTTTGTTTGCAATTTTGGATCCACCATTTTGAATTTTGAAAAATTAAGTTCAGATTCGTAATCAGCGATCCTATGAACCCCCGAGTAACAAATTTGAGGCCAATTGGATCAATTTTTTTAAAAGTCATCCGCCATATTGGATCCGCCATTTTGAATTTTGAAAAACAAAGTTCAGATTCATAATCAGCGACCCCAAAAACCCCCGAGTAACAAATTTGAGGCCAATGGGATCACTTTTTTAAAAAGTCGTCCGCCATATTGGATTTGCCATTTTGAATTTTGGAAAATTTTTAAATTCAGATTAGTAGTCGCAGCGACCCCAAAAACCTTCGAGTGAGAAATATCAGCCAGATTTTAACACATATATTAGTTAATACTTACTTTTCTTCACAAACTATGCGTCGGACAGTTTAGGTTTACATTCATTATTAATTATACAGTTTTAATGAAGTGTGCAAAGGTTAACGATTTTTCTGTATACTTTTATAATGCATGAGAAGAGATAACAATGAGTTAGGAGCATTTAGCAGCAAAATTCAACATGTGCTTTTCAAATATGTGGTTTTTTGATATGAGTTACGTTTTAAAATTTAATGTTTAAAGTCATTGCATTCTTTGTGTAAAGGAGGCACACATTCCTGTATGGGTTCAAATTACTTCTTATTAGGTAGATAATATAATCCCGTTGTGCCGTTACTCAAAAACCTTCGTTAAAAAAGTTATATCAGTTTAACTGCTAAGTTGTAGAAATTTTGAAAAAGTTGTCTCGCAAGTGTGAAGCTACATAGTTTTTATTCAATTTGAGGCACATCATTGTTTCATGGATTTTTTAGTTCTTTACACTCCCACCTACTTCTATTGCAAGCCACAAGACACACAATGTTTCGTTAAAAAAGTTACAGTCTATAAACTAAAAACAAACAGTCAATATCACACAATAGAAACTGTCGATTTCACTTCTATAACTTACGTTCGTCATTTCCTACATAATTAAAAAAATTATATAACGCATGATACATTTAAAAAGCCCTACAATTGATCAAATTATGGTATTGAAAAATTATTAAAAAAATTCTTAAGGTATCATAATGAGCGATAACATAAAGTTTAAAAGTTCTAGAGATATGCCCACATACATCCGGACAATTGATCAGAATCTCATATAACATGTTTCTATAAAGAAAAAAATTTGTTTCCGCCACTTTGAAAAGTTTTATAAATGAAAGGACTACAAAGCTTCCTCCACGAGGAAGCAAAATGATCAATATCCTTTTATGAAACGAGTAAATATGCAAATTAGGTAAAGGGAGACAGTTTATTGATATTTGTTTTGAAAAGAAGAAGAAAGCAATACTCTTACCTGAAGGAAGACAATCTTATGCCATGTCATTAAATAAAGAGAGAAGGGAATGCGTTAGATTTTCAGCGTTATAAAAAGAGACGAATTTATAGTATTTACCTGGAAAGAGGAAGATAGGAAGATATTTTCACTAAATTGTATTGAATATATCTATATATATATATATATATATATATATATATATATATATATATATATATATATAGGAAGAGTAGCATGAGTAGGAGTGAGATTGAAACAAATTACACATAGGAGCGTTATTGTCGCACTACTTTTCGAATAGAGAACAAATATTTTTTATTCATCATTTACTTTTTTCGTCGTATAAGTATCAATTAAGAAATAGTGATTTGTTTTGTTGAACAATCAGTGAACTGAAAGTGAATCAGTGTAAGTGCATTTTTTCAATATCATAGAACATTCAGTGAACTGCAAGTAAATTAGTGTAAGTAAATTTTTTTTAATAGTAAGAAATTTGAATTTTTTGTTGATTACAGTAATATATATTTTTTTATTTTTAAGTGATTATAAGTCATTCAAAAAATGTAAAAAATGATTAAATATATCATGAATATTATGTAAATAAATCTTTATTATTAAAAAGTGTTCTTTAAAATATTTTTGACATTTAAGTGGTTTTTCAAAGAAGGAGTTATTTTTTCTCTATGTTTATTGGTTTTGTAATACTATTATTAAAAAAATATTCCAGAGGAATAGATGTTAACATGTAAATGTCATTAACAAAAATTTATTTTTTAGTTTCGTTAAGAAAAGTAAAATGTTATATCAACTTAATATAAATTCAAAATTTTTTTTAAATTTATAGATGAAGTAGAAGAATATTTTTAGTATAAAAGTGATAAAATTTAATTATTTAAAGATAATAAAATTTGTTTTGACAATTAAATTTTTTGTCCAGTTTTTATATTTTTTTCTATAATACATAAGAAATTTTCTATAGATATTTATAATGTAAGTTTATTTATATTTTGCAATTGGAATTTGTATTAATTTGAAATGGATGTTGAATAAAAGTAGAATAGAAATTGGAAATGGAAATTGGAAATTAGAAATAGGAAATGGAAATAAGTGATTATTGGATACAAGGAAATTGAAAATAAAGAATGAAGGCAAAATTGAAAACAAAGAAATGTGAGAAAACTAGAAATGGAAATGGACATTTAAAATTAAATTGGATTATCATATATTTCATATTTCTATCTTTTGAAGAAAAAGAAGTTATTTATTTAAAAGTGATTTTCATCATATTTGGCAAATTTACAAAATAAAAATCATGGCTAATAATAAAAGAAATAGTTAGTTTAAGTGATGAAAATTATAATATAATAGATAATAAAAATGCAATGTTGAATGATGATCATATACATAAATTTCAAAAGCTTTTAGCAAGACAATCAAGTATGTTATATAATATGCAAAGTACTTTATGTTTACAAGTACTTGATATGATAATTCCAATCGATAAAAATAAGAGACACATTCAAATTCTTTTTAGTAGTTCTTTCAAATCTGGTCACTGGATTTGCACTTACTATGATGGAACAAGACTTTATATTTTTGATAGTCTTAACAAAGGCTCTTTAAATGAGGATCAAATGAGCTATTTAATTAGATTATATCCATTTAAACCACCTTTGGTATTTTCAAAAGTTCACCAATAGCCGTTAGGCAGTTTTGATTGTGGAGTATTTGCAATAGCATTTGAAACATCATTATTTTTTCATGAAATGCCAAACACTCTTTCTTATGATTATTATCACATGAGAAATCATTTGAAGTTAATTTTTAAAAACAACCATTTAAGTCGTTTTCCGGCTATAATAAATTCTATTAATCCACGTTTAATTGTTAAGTATAATTGGGAGTGTCTTCTAAGTGATCCAGTTGAAGAACTCTTATGTGGAAAAATAAACCGTAATAAAATTAATGATCAAGAAATTCCCTGTGCAAGAATTTTAAATAGTGCAAAGGACATTAATAATCATTCAAACACGAAACACTATTGTGACGTACTTAAATCGAAAAGTAAAATAAAAAATTTATTTCATTCAGATAAAGTAGATTTTTTCTCTAAAAAAATGCAAACAAGTCAGTTAGAATTCCAAGGACAACATGTGAATAAGAGGAAGTTTGAATTTATCAATAATGAAATAGACTTCTTTCATAAAAAAGGCAGTGAATAATGTCAAAAAGAATTTAGAGAAGGATTACTTAAACATAAAGATATGTCCAGTCAAGTTAATGATTTTAATGATGAGAACATGCATGAATCTTCAATTTCGTAATTTTCAAAAAATTCTTAATCAGCGATAAATATAGTATTTCTATATAAAATATATCTAACATTAGAAAATACTGTTGTTCCCATTGCATTCCTACAATAACGAATATACAGGATACTGTAAAGCAAACAAATCCTTTAATTAAAACTGTCAGAAAGAGTGCAGTAGAAAATCAAAGAAATTATTGCAATAGACAAAAGTTGAAAAGAAAGAATAATAATAAAAAACTTTCAGACGAAGTGGATCTTTCGTCTATGAAAAAAAGAGCCAGGCAGAATACCAAAAAAAATATAGAGAAAAAATGAAATTAAAAAAAGAAAATGAAAAAAGATCTTTGGTTGATGTTTTGAAAAATGGAAATTATAATGAATCTATTGATTTAATAAATGCAATTTCTCCTGTTCCAGCAATAAAAAATTCAGAATTATATGATAG